CGATTTCTCAAAGACAATTTCTTCAACATCTTTTCCTCGTTCACGCTGTTGTAGCAAAAACCGCTTCACGTATCTGAAAGAGAGCGATTAATCGAAGATTTGGACAATAAGAAGTGAAAGCGGTGTTCATACTCACTCGTGTTTGACGAATTTATCCTCGCGAGAATAAAGGTAGAGCTGAGGCTTAGGCAAATCCATATTTTCTGCTAAGTAGTAGTACATCGAAAGTTGGGAACGAATCGGAGGGTACAGGGCGGAAATGGAGTGAGCCTGAGCGTAATATTGCGGACACTGCATTATTGCTTAGCACATTCTGAATACTTACCACCCCCTTCCTCATGTGAAAGACCATCCTGGTAATCTTTCGTCTCGTCTCCTTGTCTACCCAACGCAACCCATCGATAGGAGGTGTTGAATTAACGACTGCATAAGAGTCTGGACCTGCAGACGTTCGTGCTGGTGCGCTAAAATTCTCATAAAATTCGAAAAAGGTAAGGTTAGAAAGGCAGACCTGTCAAAAATAATTCCTTTGATTCTTTGACGAAGATATGTGACTTGTTCTGCTTCTGTCCACTTCCATAACGAGATCAATGAGCGGACACCATTCATCGAAAATACATGGCATACCAGAGGACTGAAGCAAAGCGGCAGTCTCATTAGACAAACGATTGAACTTAGAGAGATTAGTTCTCTACAGACATATACTCCTCATCTTAAAAACCGGTAAAGAAATTTTTTTTGAACCTTGGCTAGGACCAGTAATATCTTCAGACGAAAACGATGAGGAGGAACATTTATTTGGATAGAAAGAGCAGAAAGAACACAAATGGCTATGGTACAAATCCTTGAGCATTATTTCGATTCTATGTAATGGAAACAAAACCGCTGTAATGTTTGCGCACAACTGTGCCACTAGTTCGCATCACTGATAAAAGAGCGAAAAGCCCTATTTATGGTAAGCAAAACCATTGAAAGATGACTTCTCTCTACAGACTTAGTTGAATCATCCACTATTTCGGGTGCTAGAATGAAAGTGATTGGAATTGAAAATCTGAAGGACCAAAAAAAGGTTAGTAAACAGCTTGAGTTTTTTGGAGCAAAAAGGTTGAAAATGGCTGTAATGCATCCATGAGGTAATCGGAATGCTGATTACAAGGAACATAACCATTTTCCACGATAGCGACTAGTAGGCTTATGCGGGGCATGCACTTCAGAGGTAAATAGCATCACGAATTTGACTGAAACGTGGATGGTTGTTTATCGACACCTTAGTAGGAAAGGGGTAGGTATACAACGAAAGCATCGAGAGAAGAAGAGATAGAATGACTTTGCGCCTATCATGGCTCTATCTTGAAAATGAAACGATTATCGTTGATCGACGATCAAGATGTCAATAGTCTCAGCAGCGCAATTTTCTTTCAGGAAAACCACTAAATTTGTTTCTGTACCGTTACGGTGATCCTAAAGCAAGGTCCTAACGTGGAGAATTACTATAATTTTCTTCATTAGCAGTCAATCACACCACTGATTAGCGTGAGTAAATTCTGAATTCACCCCAGAAAAATCAAGTGTCGGTTAGCCTTCCTTGTAGTCTGAAAATACAATTTCAACCAATTCTAGCTTGAAAGAACAGAAAGCAAGCCAAGCACAATAGAGGGGCCCCTACTTCTAAATGATTTGAGATGAGTTGCCGAAAATTTCGGGTTTTTCTTTGAATTTGAAAAAAAAACGGCAAAACTTATTCAAGAACCCAACATATACTATGTGTCGAAAGCTGGAACTTGTTACAATAATTAAAGTTATGATATTAGACTTACCAAAAAGAACACTCACCAATGTCTGAAGCTTTCGAAGTTTCCGGGTTTAGCATCGATTCCCCTTAGAACAGGTGATAGATAAAAACCGTTTCGAGCATTTGGTATGGTGTAATGATAGCAAGGAGCAATAAAGGCAATTGTTCGATACCTGCAAACATTGTCGTGCTTATAGTTTCCTGCTAATAATGGAAAATGCAGAAATTGTTGAGATAGCTATGCAGCCCAGAGCAAAAATCGTACCCAACTCCAACGCGTTTACAACTCTGTTGTCAAAATGTACTCATAAAGCGTCTTTACCTTGGGGTATTCCGTACCTTATAAAAATCGGTCGGTTGGCTGATCGAGGATGCAATTCCTTTGCGACAACATCGGTATCAGCTGGAATCAGCCCACCTTCTAACTATGCCGTGCTTTTTTCTTCGGATGGCTTAATTTTCTTCTGCAAACAACGATAAGATTCTCAAGAATCGAATCGTTGTGGAACAAATCAACAAAGTGCACGACTTTGAAAGGATGGGAATTCCAACCATACTTCTTTGAATTGAACGCTAATGAGTAAATGTATACAAACCCCAAATCTGCTTTATCTTTAGTCCATAACAACTTTTCAAGTCGAACAATTGATCTCTTCAAGAAAAACTGTGTGAAAATCCATTAATAAAGCTGATTTTATTGGCCTGAAAGCTACTATAGAAATAAGAAGTTGCAATGAAAAAATTAAGTTTGTTGGGAAAAAGGACCGATCATCATAGGTCAGAAGAGGCCCGCCCGCCTTTGAAAAGGGGAGTACTTTGCGGGAGGAACGAACGGGAAAATCAAGGTACTTAAGGCCAAGTAAGGAGCAATAGCAGTTTCGTACGCATCACATTTGGACTGTGACATTAAATTTCGCCAACGATTTGGATCGGATGAAGTGCTGCAATTTTTTGTAATTTTTTGCTGCACTTCATCGTGTTTTCTTTTTTCATTGAGTGTTGTGTGCGAGGCCGCTCCTTCCTCCCAAATGACCGTCTCCATCGTCTTCTTTCTTTTGCATATTCTCACTGTGTTCTCTGTTGTTTACTTCGTTAATGAATAATTCGTGTATGCGTGTTAGTGTGTTCTGCCTCGTTTATCCGGTCATACCAATTGAGTCGAGATCGAGCTCACAAATTACAAGTCGACACGAAATGCATGGGAAATTAACCAAAGGTCACGCCGCTCCCAAAAAGACAATCAATATGGTTAGAAGCTGGGCCGATCCGGGTGATACCAACCTCTGCCGCGACGCGACCGTGCTGCATCCACGATCGCCCGTCCTGTTGCGCTTACAAACGTCATAAGGATCAATTTATCTTAATGAAGTATGAAGATATCCTCAGCAAAAAATGTATAATGTCGTAACTTCTAAATAATGCGCATCATCACCGTAAGAGTGATGCTCCAATGTAGCACATTGAAAAGGAAGCAAAAGGATTGATAAGATTACACTTACCCGCTTTCGTTATAGAAAGTGCTATATTTTACTAGATGCTTATGTTCCGCTCCAGCCCATCCAACCAATAACACAGCTGGTTTTCTATGGTCGACAGGAAGTGGTTTCTCTTGAAAAAAAAAA